CCCCCCCCCCCCCCCCCCCCCCCCCCCCGCGGCCTGAGAGGCATCAGCAGCAGTCCCTCGGCCCAGAGTGTGGGGCTGGGAGGGACTTGACCTCCATAGCCACTTCTCTCCCTAGGCCGCAGCACCTCTGTTCCCACCTTCCCACCCCGTGGGCCTGGACTTCTCCCCCTCATGCCTCCCACCTTGAGCCCTATTTCCTGCCTCAGGGGCCTCCCTCTCTCTCTCTCTGGCAGCTTTTTCCTCCAAGTCTCATACTTCCCCTAGTCTTTGGGCCAGTGTCATCTTTTCCCAAATGGGTTTAGCATGACAAAGGTCAAATAAATATGGGGATCTCTTTCCCTTTAGTCCTGCTGCTGTGTGTGCAGCCCTTTTGCCCTGTGAAATCCCTAAGAAGCCCACGATAATGTCTGGTTAACTTGCATGTCTGCTATGAGCTACATGATTCTCCCAAACCTGGGGTCCTTTTTTCCCATCGAGTAATCACCACCTCATGTTTCTAATGTTTTGAAGAACACTTTGAGAAAACGCGGATTTGATTAATTCCTTCCCCTGCCATGTGGGATTAGTTTATTCATCTCTGCTTTCTAAGCCTGTAAACTGTGGAGGCCCTGGCCTCCCAGATCGAATAGCCACAACTTGGCTTCCCGTGGCAGGCACCGGAGCGGGACCCGCCATCCCAGGGCCAGGGCTGCCAAGCCGCCAGTCTGCTGGCCCCTGGGCCTGGCCTCTGCCCATCCTCCCACACTCAGTCTGCCTCCACAGGCCACTTCCCGGCAAGATCCTCTGTGGATGGCTAGGGTTCACCCCAAGCCTGTGGCTGTCCAGCAGTCCAACAGACTCATTTCTAACGGGGGGGGGGGGGCAGAATAGAGGAGGAAAACAGCTCTTTTCACTTCCTCAAGTGGCCTCCTTGCACTCAGCTAAGCCCAGGTCAGTTTCTAGACATCCCTAGAATCCCCCAATTGGAGGAGGGAGCAGGCAGTAGCCATCAGGAGCCAGGCTGTCCTCTCCATGGGCCCAGGTGCAGGTACAGCTGGGGTGGGGGGCTGACCAGGGAACCCACTGACATGCCTCTGCCAGTCCAGGGCACTGAGGCTTCCCCAACCAGCCACATCTCCTTCGTAGAACTAGGAGACACTTGCTCAGAAACAGTCCGATTTCCATTCCTAGTTAGGGATCCACCCCAGCCTTCCCCACGTGCTGGCTCTCAGGGTCTCCCAGAGGAGAAGTTTCAGGCCACACCAAGATCAAATCCCCAAGGTTTTCTGAGACTACAAACTTGGCCCTGGTGTAGGGAGAGGGTGAGTGGGTGGGGCTAGGTTTCATACAATACCTGACTAGGAGCTTAAGGATTGTTGGGCCCCTGCCCTGGCTCCTCTCCCGGACTCACCCCGCACCCCTGGGGAACAGATGAGGCAACAGCAGCTATGGCCCTGTGCCCACTTCCCACTGCCCGGCCCCTGCCCACCCTTGCCATGGCTACCCCTACTGGGCCTGTTCCCTAGGGGCCTCGTCCTAATGAAGCCTTTCACTTTCCACTGGATTTTCACTAAAGAAACTCCTGGTTCCTCAATGGAGCCTTTTAAAAGGTCATTCTCCACCGAGGATGGGAAATGTTGCCCAGACTCACAGAGAGGCCTCAGAAGGGACACCTGCTCCTATCCTCACCCAGACCTTAGCAGTCAGCTAGGAGCTTGCACTCAGGGACTCTGCTGAGGGGGACTCAGGTGACCTGTCTTGACCCCTTTCCCCCAGGGAGGAAGATGACTGGAGTGTACCCTAATCCATCCCAATGGGGTGTGTTTCACCTCCATAAGCATCCCGTTGGGCAGAGAGAGACCAGGAAAAGGGGACCGTTGTGGGCTGGCAAGAATTTCAAAATGGACCAACAGAGGCCTGCAGCAGAGTCCAGGTATCTGTCATCAAATGGAAAGAACTACAGTAGTAGGGACACATAAAGCCCGGAGAGTTAGGAGGACAAGGAGGGCTCTGCCCTCACAGATAAAGGTACAGAAGAATGATGTGGCAGACCAGCAGCTTGCTTTATGGACATGACCTCATCTGTTCACGCTGTCCCCCACCCCCAGCTGATAAGAATCTGGTGCTGTTTCCTGTAGTCCAAGGGTCTCAGACAATGGTGTGAACAGGCTGGCCCTGCTGGAAAGGACATTGTTTAGGGAAGAAAAAACACACCAGCACAAAGACAGGGCAGGACCTGTCTAAATGTAAGGGTCTGTTTACAAATCCCTGATTTCCAAGAGGGGGGAACACAATGGGGAATTGTTTTTGGTGGGTCTGGAGTCCCCTCCAGAATGCTCCTGGGGTCTGGGGATGGCTTTGATGGCCTAGACAGGTCTCAGATGCTCTGAGGGGGATGGACACTGATGGCGTGGATGCCTTCCTGTTTATCAGAGGTGCTCGCAGGGCAGGGTCAAGGAACAAGGTTACACCAAAGACAAGAGGGAGGAGCCCTGGGCCTCTCTCCTTCCATCCCGGCCTCCTGCTGTTGCACATGCTAGAGGTGGTTTGCTACAGAGAAGCTAGAACAAGGTTTTCATTTTTTGTTTTCTGAAATATATCAACTTTTTGGTTTATGGCCTCCAATTGCCAGATTGCTTTTTGGAAAAAAATGTACAAGGCATGAGACCCTTCCAAATAGCAGACCCTCCCCGCCCCACGATGGGGCTTCCTAGCTTAGTCAGTAGGGAGACTTCTCATACCTGGGCACCCCACCACCACCACCACCATGATGTTGCACTTCACCTCCAGCCAGTCTGGGAGTATATAGGAGCTAACACAGTGTCCCTGGGGGCCGGGCCAATGGAGATGCTATTTCTCATAGCAACCTCCTGTCTGGTCCACAGGTTAGAGCCTTTGATGCCACTAACGAGAGGCCTTAATATCAATGTGTGTGTGTGTGTGTGTGTGTGTGTGTGTGTGTGTGTGTGTGTGGAGAGTGAGGCAGAAGAAGAACAGAACTGTATCATCCATTTCCCTTGGGACTGGCAGTCCTCATTTTGTGGGGGGGAGAGGAGGGCAGCTGGAATTAGGAGGATCACTTTGGGTCTGGACGGACCATGAAGGCAGGCCTGTCTGAGAATACTTCCACCTGTGATGGAAGTGTCACTGGTAACTTTTATACTAATCTCGAAAGCCAACAGGAACACACTTCTTGCATAAACGCAAATGGATGTGTTTAGAACAAGTGAAGAGCAGTAAGTCCTATGCAATCCCAAAATAGCAGCAAGCTTTCAAAAATAAGCCTTTCTCAACCTTCCAGCTCCTGAGGGGGCAGCATCTTCTCCCTCGCTATGCTAACAGTGCCCTCTGGTGTTTGACAGCAAAACTACAGGCTCATGAGTACAAGGTCCAAGCCCTTCCATCTCTTCAGTAGACATCAAACTGCCTCTGAATGTGAGGTCTGGAGCCACACACCCCGGGAGGGAGAAAGGTTAATAAGACAAACAGGCCCCTGCCTTTAAGGGGCTTCCCATTTAGTGGGAGAGACAGATACACAACTGTAGGACCAGGTGGAGAATGATGCCTGCTCTAATAGGAGTATAAGCAGAGACCAGTGCAAGCGAAAAATGGCCCTTTGGCTGGGTTCAACAGGCCGAGGAGAGAGGCTATGGCTCTCCAGAGTGCAAACCTTATGCTCAGGGCCCAGTGTTCCGGGGTAGCCAGGGCAGAGTGCCCGTGGGTGGGGTGTCCAGGGAGATGCTGCTGAGTAGGCCCATGTTTGTGGAAGGTCTTGGATGCCAATCTCAGCAGAGCCATCCTAAGAAAAGAGCTAGCAGATGTTTATGGTAATTAGCAGAAGGGAAAAGGGCGGATCTGCCAGCAAAGCAAGTGGACATAGGAAACGGTGCAGGGAGAAGGCTTTTGCTGCAGTCCTCTGAGGCACAGGGGTCTGAGCCGAGCACTAGCAATGGGATAGCAAAGAAGGCGAACATTTGTAAAACAGTCAAACTGACAAGAAAGAGGGTGGTTGAGGATAAAGGGAAGTAGAAGGAGATACTGAGATTTTTGGCTCTAGTCCATGGTTCCTACAAAGGTAAGAATGAAAGGAAGTAGAGAAGGTGAATTTTGGGGGAATTTTTACTTAACATCTATTTCTACCCTCCCCAAGTGAACTATTTGTTCCAGGTCCTAAGTTATAAAACAGTAATTAATTCTAACAGACAGATCCCTTGTGAAAACATGTATTTAAATCACACAAGAGGAGCCTGGAGCATCTTGTAGTGCCAAAAAGTAAAGAAGGGCCCAAAAAATCCCCAAAACCAAAATAACAAAACAGAACAAAACACACAATAATGGGGGTATGTGAAAAGGACTCAGGAGCTCCCAATGGCCAGAGCTGGAATAATTTGAACAACAAAATAAATCAAGCAGTATTGGATTATAACCCAGAATACACTATGCAAATCCCTAAGTCTAGACTGACATAAACGAATGACCGAATAAATAAGTGGGAGAGAACGGGTAAATCTCCCATGCAGAAGAATTCCAAATAATGTAGATATTCTGTTCGCAAGGAGGGAGGGGACATAAATCGCCACTCATTAATTGTGGGCTACACAGAGCGACCTGCTTCCAAAAGGCACAGTCTGGAAAGTGGGGAAAAGAAGTAACTTTATGCTGGAGAAACCTGACAAACATACCTCACCAGCTGATCAAGGTCACCATCAATGGTGGAAGACATGTTGATAGTCTGTAACTTGGCTATGATGTGATAACAGCACTTTACTTGTGTGGTCTCCCTCCCCCAGGCCCATAACCCTAGCCTAATCGTGAGAAAAACATCAGACAATACCAACTGAGGGCTCTCAAGATACCTGACCAGTACTCCTCAAAACTGTCAAGGTCATCAAAAACAAGGAAAATCTGACAAACTGTTACAGCCAAGAGGAACCTAAGGAGACAGGATGATTCAATGCAACGTGGTCTCCCGGATAGGGTCCTAGAACAGAAAAGAGACATTAAGTAAAAACTAAGGAAATCTAAATAAACTCTGGGTTTGAAAATAATGTATTGGTTCATTAATTGTTACAAATGTACTACGTTCGGGGCACCTGGGTGGCTCAGATGGTTGGGTGTCTGCCTTCGGCTCAGGTCGTGATCCCAGGGTCCTGGGATCGAGTCCCTCATCAGGCTCCCTGCTCGGGGGGAGCCTGCTTCTCCCTCTGCCTCTGCCTCTCTCTCTCTCTCTCTCTCTCTCTCTCTCTCTCTGACTCTCATGAATAAATAAATAAAACATTAAAAAAAAACAAATGTACTACTTTAATGTAAGATGGTACTAAGGAGGGAAATAGGGTTTGGGGTATTTGGGGAATCCCCGTACTATCTTCACAATTTTTGTAAATCTAAAACTATCCTTAATTAAAAGTTCACTTAAGACAAAAAACCCAGTTATTTAGTGGGGAATGACTGATTAGGTGAAGAATAGAACATTTCAAAATTGGGGACTTTCCAGTCAGCTATTAAAATCAATGGAGAGTACAGGGTATAGAGATGAAGAAATAGTTAATAGGGAGGAGTGTGTGTGTGCGCGCACACACGCACACACACTGTTTTCTAGGTATCCATAAGGTCAACTGCACCCAGAGATCAGGCAACTGAATAAGTGACAAAAGCACCCTCATCCTCCCCCCACCACAAGCTGTACCTCCCACCCCCTGCAGCTGGATTCCAGAGGTACTGCCAGAGGACCACTACTTTCGGTTAAGATGGTGTCTCTCACACTTGAGTAGTATCCAAGTGGATCCTTTTTTTCCTAAGTTTTATTTATTCATTTGAGAGAGTGCGCACACGAGGTGGGGGGAGGGGCAGAGGGAGAAGGGCCCGGAGAAGCAGGCTCCCCACTGAGCAGGGAGCCCAATGTGGGGCTCGATCCCAGGACCCGGAGATCATGACCTGAGCCGAAGGCGGATGCTTAACCGACTGAGCCACCCAGGCGCCCCTCCAAGTGGATTCTTTTTAAAGGGAAAGATACTACCCCAGATGTCTGAGAATATGCCTGGTGACCCAAGTTATAGAAATTCTAGATTAAGAATCTGTAGTCTTAATCTTGGAAGTGTCTTGCAGTTGTGAATTATCACTACAAGAGTTGAGTCTTTAGGATAGGTAAAATATCATTTGTTTTTGAAATGAAAATCCACAATTTAAAAACTGAGTCACTTGCAGAGCTCTGACAAGGTGTCCCTGGAAACCCAGGTTAGGAAGCACAGCATTGAGTCATCAAAATCATGGGAGAGAAAAGGAAGAGAAAAGGCATAGGTGCTGGCCGCCCTGGGGTGTTAGCTGTGCAGTAGGCCCAGTGAGAAGCCGGCTCAGGAGTAGGCTCTCGGAGGCCGGTCTTTCAGAAAAGAAGTGCAGCTAATAGTGATCTCATGTTTGGCTTATGAGGAAGATTGTATTTTGAGGCAACTGTCATGTGGAACATTTGGGAAGAATTAGCCATAGGTACCTAACAAATTGAGCAAATACAAAAGGGATAGGTATTTATTTCAGGAAAAAAAACCAATTATGGGAGAGGAAAAATAATCCTAGTGTACTGCCTGGCTCAGAGGTGGGCAGCATTTACATGGTCATAGCAAGTAAACTGAAGGTTACTAATGTAATCACTGAAGGTTAATTCAATAAAAACTGTGATGCAATTATAAAAGATGGAGAGAATGAAAGTGGGAAAGTCTTAAAGGAGCAAGCTCTTACATGACATAATCGGAAGTCAGTAACGTCTAAGACTAATGAATCAAGAAATGGCTAAAATAACGGACAGTAGTTGCCTTTAAGGAGCAGGATTGAGGGTAGGGAAGGATAAGACAAGAGACTGTTTTTTGTTATAATCCTTTAAGTACTTCTTGACTTTTAAAATTCTGTATTACTTTGCCTGCATATTTTGATAATAACAAAAACACACAAACACACTACCCCACACCCCATGTGACTCCAAGTGGATCTGGTCAAATTTGAAAGTGACCGCTGTAAACACCAAGGATGGAAGTCTCCAGGGCTCAGCAACTTTTGAACCAAGAACCCCGTCCTCCACCATGGGTTACAATGACTCAGTGAGACCCTGAGCACTGAGTATCTGGCAATGGTCCTGATTTCCCCTGCTAATCTAAATCCCACAGAATCATTAAAAACAAAAATATGTGAGATAGGTTCCACTCAATTTCTCCCAAGACCTTCTGCCAGATTCCCATACCCGCTGCCTTGCCTAATGCAACTGTCCTGGCGTGGTTCCCTTACCCGAGACGGAATTGCCTGAGCCACCAGGCAGCGAGGTTCTGGGTGGAGGTATGCTGCAGACCACACGGCCTGCAGCGGACAGAGTCCTTCCAAGCAGTGTGAGCATGGCAGTCCCTGCCCTGTTTGAGTCCAGGGCCCCGAGCCTTGCAATGGTGGCCTATTCTCAGTCCAGTATGGCCTCCTTTGCTGGCTCACCTCCCTGGTGAGGGCCTGTGTTTATTTGTGCAATGATGAAATCTCTGTCCCCACCCATAAAGTTAATTTCCCAGCAAACTGCTTCCCTCCAAATCAACATGTCTATGTTGGAAGTTGAAAATTCTACATTTATTCACTGAATTTTATGGATTAGAAGGGTGCATTTTCTGTTTCCTCACTCTACCGTCCAGATTCCTCAGGATGCTAAGTTCCAGAGTGAATTTGTAAGGAGACACCGATGGAGAGAAAACCTTTATTTGCATAATAACAAACACGGGTGAAGTAAGAAGCAGCATATGAGAAGCAGATTAGGGTGAGAGAAGAGGAGAAGGCTCTCTAGGGCCCAGGCAGAAAGAGCAGAGGCGCGCTCATGACTGCTAACACATTCCGAGGTTGGCATCTGGACTCCACTCTGTCCTCACGCTCCCCTGGGACTTCTCTTTCCCTGGTTCATGCTCTCACTGCTGGCCCTCTTCCCTTGTCTCACAGTCCCAAGGGGCTCCCTCCCTCAAACCCGGTGGAGGAGCACAGCTTCATACCCAAATGTGCTTGGCAGCCACTACTCAGAAGCTGTTACTTAGATTTTTTGCAGCTCTTAGAGATTTTGACACGCTTGGACCGACAGGAGTGGCCCCTCCTGCCACCAGAGGACTCTGGCTTTTCTAGTAAGGAAGGTCCTGGCCAATCAGTCCAAGAAGGGCCTGGATTCCCTTCCAGGCTGGTGTTTCTGCAGAAATGCCCCCTGGGGGGGAAGGTGCTGCTGCAACAAGGGATGTCACCTGAGTTTTCAGGTGTATAGTCTGTGGTGGAAGAAAAGCGGAGAGGGAGACTCAGGCCTCCGTCTCTCCAGGCTCAGGTCCTTGAGCCCCTCCCTAGCCACTTCCCTTCCCGAACCAAAGGCACCAACTCCAAGTCCCCATCCGGTGGCATGCCCTCCTCCTTTCCCAGGCACCACAAGGCCCCCCCAGCCCCCGCCCCCGCCCAAGTTCTTAGACCAGACCACCCCTCCGGTCCCACCTGCGGCTTCAGCGGAAGGTGCACACTCCTCACACTCCCACTTCTTACTGTTGGATCTAAGAGAGGAGCAGTCCCTGTGGGTTCCGTGGGATCCGCAGGTACTGCACAGAATGAGGCGCCACCTCCTGCAGGAAAAGCCAAGGAAGGGTTGTGGGGACAAATATTACACTCATTACCACTCTCAGAATGTCTGCTACAGGCCAGGCCTTTGCTGAGGGCTTCCCAGGCAATTTTCACTGTACATTTTACCCAGGACCCATTGTGGCTGAGTGCCAATCCTTGGACCCTCACTTAGGCACAGATACTCGAAAGGTGGATTTGGAAAGGAACCGGACCCAAGGGTTGCTCCACTGGGCACAAGGAGGAGCAGACCCTGTAGGAACCTGTCCCCTTGTGCATGAGTGAGTCCTGGGCTGGTCAAGTATGGAACCTGGGTTCACCCTGAGGTCTGTAGACAAGAGCAAGTTTCTTGCTCCTGATAACTGGCCAAGGTCTAACTCCAGGATGGCACCAATGAGAGATCTTTCTAGCAAGGAGCCTTTCCCTACCCTTCTTCCTCAAAGCTGTCTCTGCCTTTTTCATACAGACAGATGGGGGCATCACAATGTTGATAGCGCTCATACAACTCTGAGAAAGCCCCTGGCTCGAGCTCCCAGGCGGCATCTCTGCAGTGGGAAAAGAAACAGTGAGTAAGGGGCACATAATTGGTGGTGAAACCTTTGTCTACTCGGGAGGAACTAGAAAGAACTCACGCTAGCACTGCAAAAGAGCTCAACAGGCTGCGTGAATACTTTAAACAAGATGGGCTGAGTGGTCTGGCAGTAGGAGAGGGTGGACGCAGGATGAGTGGAACATGGGGGTTTCTTAGTTCCACCCTGGAATTCAAGAACCAGCCCCCAGGGAGTTCTGATCCCCAAGCACCCTTTTCAGGAACATGTCTACCCCACCCCACAGTGCACCCCCACCTCCTTTTCTTTTGATAACTGACAAGCCCTCCCTCCACTCCCTCCCTCTTTACCATACGCAGGTGCCTGGGCTGCCTCTTCATTCTCTGAACTAACCTCACACTCACCTCCTCTCTAGAAATCTAGGCAACCCACTCCCTGGCTCAATTCCTGCCTTCGAGTTTCCACTACCTGTCTGGAATATGTATTCCCATTCTTAGCATTTCTTGAGGAAACTCTTCTCGATTGTTACACTGTGGACATTTGAAGAAATGTTTTGCCGATGTGTGGGCATACTTCTGTAAGAGAAACATGGAAGAGCGTTGTGTTTATAAAAACACCATCTTTGGCCACCTTCTCTCCACCCCAACCCTCATCTCACAAAGAGGATGTTGCCAAGAGAGCTTGATGGGAGATTTCCATAAAAGGGCTACGGGTGGGCTAGTGGGAGGGGTGCAAACCCAGGCATCAGACCAGAGACCACGCTCAATTCGAGAGAGCTCCCAGGGGTGGCTCAGCTGTCATCTCTGGCTGTGGGGCCTGCAGTACTGACCCATTCAAGGGTCTCTTTCCTTCTGTCCCAGGAAGCAAGGCTGATTCTGAGGCTGCTTGACTCATTCCAGCTTGTCTGCTCTAGCCCTCCTGAGGATTTTGCTCAGTCTAAATGTTATCACGGATGAGGTCTTACAGGTCAGGGGTGACCAGAGATTGGGCTGACTTTCCTCTGATTGCCTGGAACCTTCCCTGCATATAGGCCTCCAGGATGGAACACAGAAGCTAAGACTGCCTGAGCATTCCTAGGGTGCTCCGAACTAGAGAAAATGTGGAAGGTCCCCAGGGCGGAGAAAGGCCCACCTGTATGCACTTGCGGTGGTAGATAGTTTGACTACAACATGGACTCTGGATATTTTCGACACTTGCTTGGGATAAGTCTTCACAACACAAGACACAGCTTTCCTCCCCTGCCTTCCCCCATTGGATGTCCTGTGTTGGGCGATGTTTTCCACAAAATGATCTGAGGCAGAACAAACAGACTTGATTTCTGGTTTGTCACTGATGCAGTCTTCCGGCTGCCTGGCCTAGGAAGGGCAGCCACCCAGGCCGATGCCCAGCGAACCTCCATGCTCACGGGGAGGAGGAGGAGCAGGGAGGGGAAAAGCCACATGCCTTCTCACAGCTGTTCCCCCACTGAGCAAACCTCCCGGGACTAACCCCACAGTCTCCTGTTCCTGAAAGCCCTGCTGAGCTCTGAGCAGCTGTCTAAGAACAGCAGCTGCTTGTAATTTAAGAAGGGGCTGGGAAGCAAGAAGGAAGCCCTGGGAAATCGCCAAGTCAGGACACTGTTTCTCATTATTGAATGGTAGGACAGATTCACCAGTGCATCAAAACAGGCCTGTGAGAACCGGACTCTGATTTCACTGGTGCCTAATTAAGAGCAACTTGCAAAAGGGCAGCCCAACCTTTCCCCTTCATCACTCACTTGTACTCTCCAAAAAATTGTGAAAGGCAACCCCTTTCTTGGCCACAAGGAAGATGGAAGTTTCTGATGCACTGATCCTTCTGGCAGTTGATGGCAGCTCCCTTTTTCTTGCACACAAAGCAGATCTGCAAATGAGATCCCAGGCAGTGCTCAGGGCCCCAAGAAGGACAGACAGACATTCTGCAGCACATCATTCTATGGAATGGAAATTCTAGGAAGCAAGAGCCATTTCCCTTCCTCAGCTGACCTGAAAGTTCTTGGGGGCACCCTGAAGCTGAGCTTCAAGCAGCATTAAATTATTTTTTCCCCCTAGGATGTTGCTCCTTCTCCTCACTTAGGATACTACACCCCAGAGAAGCATGCAGCTTAAGAGAAGGACCTGTTGGGAACTCCAAGAGTCCTTTGACTTCTGAACTAGCAGCTAGGGAAAAGAACAGAAACAGGGACGATCAGAGCGGTGTGAGAAGAGACCTACTCCGAGGCCCCCCTATTGGGGGATTCTAACCTTCCTAGAAGCCCGGGCTGCCTCCTTTTTGATGTCTTCAGGCAGGAATCCATGGAAACCTCTGTTGGACTGGCCCCTCTGAGGCAGCTTGCTAGATAGGATCTGGGGGAGCAGTAGAACCAGGCTGTCAACATTGATGATGGGTGAGTCAGTGCAGCGGGGTGAGGAGGGTGACAGGGTAAGAGAGCTAGAATATAGAGCGCGGGGGGGGGGGGGATACGTGCATTCACAGGGTAATTTACTTAACAAAGGCTTATACAGCATTCAATGCTCTAAGTGCTCTTCAAATATTAACTCATTTCATCCTTGTAACAACGACAGGAGGTAGGTACTGTCATCATCCCCGTTTTATAGGAGAGATTATGTGATCTGCTCAGGGTCACAGGACTCCAGAACCTGGGCTCTAACATACCTCTGTGTTACACTGTCTCTCATTTACTGAGGATTGCTTTTCTGTGCTGAGCCCTTTGGGGAAACACTCCCTGTAGATTGACTCATCTTATGTTCACTACAACCCTGTGACAGATGCTGTTGTGACCCTCATCTTACAGAGGAGCTCTCTGAGGTGTAGGATGGTAAGTGACACGGCTGGGGCCACACGGCAAGGAGGCAACAGAGCTGGCACTCACATCCAGGCCCACAGAATCCACACTCTTCCCCTGCCCCCTGTACTGCTCCTTAGTGCAAGATAAATACTCTTTTCAGAGTGTGTTCTCTACAGGAAGGCAAACAGGGCTTTAAAATCTGACTATAAGGGTGCCTGGGTGGCACAGTTGGTTAAGTGTCTAACTTGGTTTCAGCTCAGGCCTTGATCTCAGGGTCGTGAGATGGGGTCCAACCCACATGGGGCCCCACGCTCAGCACAGAGTCTACTTATGACTCTCCCTCCCTCCCTTTGCCCCTCCCCCCGTGCTCTCTCTCTCTCCCTCCCTCCAAATAAAATAAAATCTCCCGACTGTAGCCATTCTGCCCTACCGGGGAAGGGGAGGAATTGAACTTTTCTTTAAAAACACAATTTTAAGGGCCTTTGCTTCTGAAAAGCCCCCGAAGCAGATTCTAGAATGGAAAATCAAGGAAGAGGCCGCGAAGCCGTTCATGTACCCATAAACTGCTAGGTTTGTGCAGGTACATCGGAGGGTCGTCAGCACCCCAGCCCCACCCCGAGAGTCTTCCAAAAACATGGGGAGGGTGCTGGACCTCCTACAGTGATTACATGTAATGTGTAATGGGGGCCCAGCTTATTTTATTTTGACATTATAGAAAAGATGACCCTACAAGGTTAGATGACTTGAACACCCTTGGATTATAGCTATATGTTCTGAATTAGGATTAAAACGTATCTGTTCCACACCAGTTTTCTCAGGGCTTTAGGACAATATGAGTGATTTCTGTTTTATTTATATTTTTAAGTATTACTAATGTTTTCTACAATGAGCATGTATTATTTCTATAAACAGAAAAATCAATAGTGAAAGATTAGAAATAATCTAAATGTCCTTTAAAAGCAGTTTGTTTTAATGCTTTTTGGTACCCCCATCCCATGGAATACCGATTAGCTATTAAAAAGAAAAAAAACTAGATCAATATGTTCTACGTGGAAAGATCTTCATAAGTATTAAGAGGTAAAAAAAAAAAAACAGGCAAAATACAAAATACTGTATATAGTATGTTTATTTTTATGTTGAAAATGTGTATGCTTGTAAAGGCACTGAGATTAACCAAGACCTGACACCCAAACCAGACAGGATTTACAAGAGAGGAAAATCACAGACTAGTCTTTCTCACCAGTAGAGGTGTAAAAATGAAACAAAATATTAGCAAATTGAATCCGGCACCATATAAAAAGGATAATACATCATGATCAAGCAGGGTTTATACCAGAAATGCAAGGTTAGTTTAACATTAAAAATTCAATTGACGTAACAAGCCCGTAAACAAAATAAAGGAGAAAAATGATCATCTCAATAGATGCGGAAAAAGCATCTTGACAAAATTCAATATATATTCATGATATCCTCAGCAAACTAGAAATATAAGGAAACTTCTTTAATCTGATGAAAAGTCTACAGCTAACATCATATTTTAATGTTGAAAAATTGGATGCTATCCTCCAATGTTGGGAGTAACACAAGGATATTTACTCCTGTAACTCCTATTCAACACCTGATCGAAAGTCCTACCTAGTATAAGGCAAGAAGAAGAATTAAAAGAATTGAAAGAGTGGAAATGAAGAAATAGAACTGTTTTTATTCACACTACATGACTGTGTACACAGGAAATCCTAAAGCATTTACCAAAAAAATTTAAAAATAAAAACAACTACTGAACTAATAAGTGAACTTAACAAGATTGCAGGATATAAAATCAACATACAAAATAAACTGCACTTATATATACCAACATCCGAAGTTGAAACTGAAATTTTAAAATACCATTTATAATAGCATAAAAATCACAAAATATTTACACATTCATTTAATAAAAGATGTGCAAGACTTCTTCACTAAAAAAACACTGCTGAATAAAAAATAAGGAAAAAAAAATAAATAAGACATTGCTGAGACAAATTTTAAAAGACCCAAATAAATGGGGAAGTATATCACTTCCATGGATTGAAGATTCAATATGTCAATTCTTCCCAAATTGATCTATAAATTCAATGCAATCCCAACATCAATCCCAACAGGCTTTTTTTTTTTTTTTTAAAGAAAAACTGACAAGCTAGGTGTAAGATTTATATGGAAAAGGACCTGATAGCCAAAACAATCTTAAAAAAGATTGTAGAGGGGCGCCTGGGTGGCTCAGTCATTGAGCGTCTGCCTTCAGCTCAGGTCATGGTCCCAGGGTCCTGGGATCGAGCCCCGCATCGGGCTCCCTGCTTGGCGGGGAGCCTGCTTCTCCCTCTCCCACTCCCCCTGCTTGTGTTCCCTCCGTCGCTGTGTCTCTCTCTGTCAAATAAATAAATAAAATCTTAAAAAAAAAAAGAGAGAGATTCAAGAACATATAATACTTAATTTCAAGACACTATAAAGCCACAATAATGAAGATAGTGCAGTACTGTTGTAAGGATGATGCACAGATCAATGACATAAAATAAATCAACCAGATCCACAGATATATGGTCAATTGATTTCAACAAAGGCATCAAGGTAATTCAGTGGGTAGGCCAAGATATCTTGGGACACACACAACAAGCACTAATGATAAAAGAAAAAAGATTGGTAAACTGAACTTCATCAAAACTAAAAACGTTTGCTCGGGCGCCTGGGTGGCTCAGTTGGTTAGGCGACTGCCTTCGGCTCAGGTCATGATCCTGGAGTCCCGGGATCGAGTCCCGCATAGGGCTCCCTGCTCAGTGGGGAGTCTGCTTCTCCCTCTGACCCTCTTCCCTCTCGTGCTCTCTATCTCTCATTCTCTCTCTCTCAAATAAAAAAATAAAATAAATAAAAATTAAAAAATTAAAAAAATTAAAAAAACATTCACTCTTTGAAAGACACCATTAAGAAAATGAGGCATGCCACGGATTGGAGAAAATAGTGACAATACACATATCTGAAAAAGGGTTTGCCTCCAGAATATGTAAAAAACTCATAAATTGATAAGACAAAATAACCTACTTTTACAAAGGAAAAATACTTGCACAGACACTTCACTAAAGAACATATGTGAATGACCAGTAAGCACACAAAAAGAAGCTCAGCATCTTAAGTCAACAGGGAAATGGAAATTAAAACCATAATGAGATACCAGTACACACCTAATAGGATGGCTAAAATTAAAAAGATTGACCATATCAAGTTCTGGCAAGAATATTGTGCAATTGGAACTCTCATAAATTGCCAGTGCGAGTGTAAACTGGTACAACCACTTTGGAAAGTGATTTGGCAACTTCACAAAAAGTTAAACATACGGTTAGCGCACAACCAATAAATCCACTCCTAGGCATTTGCCCAAGGGAAGTGAAAATACGTGTTCACAAAAAGACTTGAACATGAATATTCATAGCAACTTTATTCATAATAGCCCCCAGATAGAAACAATTCAAATGTCCATCAACAGATGGATAAAATAAGCCATTTACAAAATATTCATACAACACAATACTACTAGGCAAAAAAAGGTACAAGCTACTGATACATGCAACAACATGGATGAATCTCCAAAACGTTGTCATTGAGTAAAAGACTCAATGTCTACTCAAAGTAAAAGAGTAGAAGACAGCAAGACTACAATTGCTGTATGATTCCATGTATATGAAATATAAGAAGAGACAAAAGTAATCTATAGATCAGAACAGTGATGATCTCTGAGGGGACTGACTAGGAGGGTACGGGAGGGAACTTTCTGGGGTGATGGAAATACTTTGATTGGGGTTGTGTTTACACGAGGATATACATTACGTCCCCATGATATAGGAGCTTATCAAAACTCATCAAACTGTACACTTATAATTGGTGCATTCTATAGTATGCAAATTATAGCTAATAAAAAAAAAAAAAGCATAGGGCACCTGGGTGGCTCAGTTGGTTAAGCGACTGCCTTCGGCTCAGGTCATGATCCCTGGAGTCCCGGGATCGAGTCCCGCATTGGGCTCCCTGCTCGGCGGGGAGTCTGCTTCTCCCTCTGACCCTACCCCCTCTCATGTGCTCTCTCTCTCTCATTCTCTCTCTCAAATAAATAAATAAAATCTTTAAAAAAAAAAAGCATAGTGGGAAAAAACAACTCGAAGGACAGTTGACAGCATGTGCTTCTGAGGAGAGGGAGAAAGATTGGGAACACTGTTTTGGGAAGCAACTTTTTATTGTACATACTTTATACTGTCAGGATTTTATAGCAGGTACGTACATTACTTCTTAAAGACTAGATTTTAAAAAGAGAAAAGCTATTAAGAAAAACAAGGCCATGTATTTGAGGCTGGACGAAAAAGAGAGAACAGACTGTGCAGCAAAAGCCATGAAACATTCAAAGCAAAGGGGACCTTATACTCACAAGACAAAAATAATGCACGCTGAGATTATCTTTCTGAAGAAATTCCCCCAGCTTTTCGGGATCCCCAGGTTCTCGAAGGCATAGCCGGCAAACTGGAAGAAGGAATGTTAAGAATTCATTTTGGGAGCACAAGGAAGAGTCATGTATTGGGAAGAGGACATTTTGACAAGGATGGAGGTTGGGATGAAGTTTTGCAGGGTATCAGGCCTTTATATAATTTTGGCCACATGTGAGTCGGCTGCAGCTTCTCACTTTATATACTTTTCTCTCAAGTGGCTTTAAATAACTTGTTTCTTGAACTTTGGATTAGTCATTTAAAAATCAAGGACCCTGAGTTCTTCAGGATCTTAGAGAATCTGGGAAATGAGTAGGACGGACAGTTGGAGAAGTAAGTTTGCTGCCCTACACAGGTGACCTTTGCTGAGGTCGGAAGGCAGCAGTTGAACAGAACCTCCAGTCTTTCTTACCAGGCCCTGAAGATGGCTTCCTTTGGGTTACCCTCCTTGTCTTGGCAGATTTTCTATACAAGAGAGGGAAGAAATATCCTGTCAACATCCCTTGTAATATTTCCCTCAAAATGCCTCCCTGGGTCTGATGAAGGACCAAAATATCAAAAGTCTAAGACATCAGTTTCTTTTTTTATTGCATTTTTTTTTTGAGAGCACAAAACATACCAAGTCATTTGAATTATGTGAGATTGTAATTATCTTTGGCTGTGCCACCTGTGTAGACTGAATGAATGCAGGAGCAAACCCCCTTTTGCTCTTTTACTGTTTCTTCTGCCACCTACTCTGAATCTCTGGCGGCACCATGTTCACAAAGCAGAATGAAATACTAAAATTGAGGGACGCCTGGGTGGCTCAGTTGGTTAAGTGTCTGCCTTCGGCTCAGGTCACGATCCCAGGGTCCTGGGATCGAGCCCCGCGTCGGGCTCCCTGCTCGGCGGGAAGCCTGCTTCTCCCTCTGCCTCTCTGCCTGCTTGTGTGCTCTCTCACTTTCTCTCTGTCAAATAAATAAATAAATAAATAAATAAATAAATAAATAATCTTTAAAACAAAGAAAAAGAAATACAAAATTGAGTGTGAATATCCTATTGCAAAACACTATTCCTGGCTCTGCACATGTATCAGCTCAATGAATCTACATTCATTGAGGCTCGAAAAAGTGGGTGCTATTATGATGCACATTTTCCAGGTGAGGAAACTGAGGCATCAAGAAATGAAGTAACCTGTCCCAGGTTACCTAGTGTCGGCAAGTGTTAGAGCCCAGATATGCATCTAGGCATAGGGCTCCAGAGCCAGCACTTTGCTATTAGGGACGGCCCTGGGGGCACAGGTTACCGGCCAGCTTCCAGAGGACCACTGGTGTATGTTTCCACGCTCCCCAACCCCAGCCCTCAAGACCACGCAAAGGGGACAAAAAGTGCAGCATATACCATGGGTCTCTGGACAATTTCTCCCGAACTCCCTTATGTCACCTGATCTACCTCAATCTTTGACGTTCCTTCTTCTTTTCTTTTACAGTCTTCATTCGCTGCTACCTCTCCCTCCTAACTTGAATTCTTCGATACTATTATGAGGACAATACAGGCTCTTCCAGCTATAAATATAAACAGGGCTTGATCAGCAATTTAATTCTACATTTGGTTCCACAGGGTCAAAGTAACAGTGTACCTCACCTCCCAACCCATGTGACAAAACAAAAGGGACCCACCCAGTATCAAGGCGAGTAGTAGCCAATAAATATTAAATTGCATCAAAACTGTTCTAGGCCGTTCACCTGTGTTAACTCACACAAACTCTGTGCAGGAAGTACCACTGCTATCCCCATTTTCAAGGTAAGGAGACTGAGGCACAGAGAGATCACAGAGAGGCACTTGCCCAAGATCAGAGTTACTGCTATTACTCAGCAGAGTAAGAATCAGAACCACTACCTGACCTGACTAAATGGGTCTTCGTTTTCTTTGTGCCTACTAAATGCACAAGGCAGCCCTCAGGATAAAGAGGCTCATTTTGCCTCCAAGTATAGGTGCCTTAATTCTACCCAGTAAAGGCTTAGGGAAGGCAGCTCTTTCCTAGGAAAAGGCACCCCTGGGATTTTGGCTGCCCGAAGCAGGCACTCCCTCTAGTGGGAGACAAGAGAGAACACGGACAAATCACCCCTTAGCTCTTCTCGCTTGTCACCAGGCTCGGCTGGCCATTGAGGTTTGGTCTGTTCCCAACCTTTCTCTAGGTCTGAGCCAAGAGTAAAATGTCCCAAAGTGGAGACGACATCCTGCCACCCTTCCCCCACCACGGTCAGCAGACCGCAAATTTAGTTTTCATTGGTTAATGGGGAAATCCCTGAAAGGGAACAGACCATTGAAAAAGACATAAAATCCACTCCCATGAAGGGAGGACTGTGTCTAGCCAAGGGAGAGGGAGAAGGACAGCATTTCTTCGAAGGAGAGCTGCGTGAATCAGGTCACTCCAAGGACAGACACTCCAGCACCCATGTCCTCAGAGCACAGCTGGGAAGCGTAAACATCTGCAGGGGCTGTCAACTGTTCTCCTTGGATGCAACTGCTAAGGCAACTAACTAGCTGTTCAGAAAACTAAGACTAGACTACGCTTCCTCTCATTGTGTTTGCTCCATCTCCTCTTCCGACCCATGAGTTGCGCTTGCAGACAGCAGTCATGGCACTTGATGGCTTCTTATTCAACAAAAGCACTTGGCCAGGCTGGAAGAGGAGGGAGGAGGGCGCGCACTAGGGGACCCGCTTTTGGGACTGCTGAGCGGCTCCGGGTCGTTGGGGGGAAATACCGGCCATCTAGCAATAGAAATAAAACCTTGAAACGTCAGTTCTTTGCATCGCTGGACCAAGACGTTCCTTGAGTGGGATTCTGTGCACACTGGTAATTACGGGAAGACGCAACAATCTTCAGAGCATTTGAGGAGGGACGTTGCAAATGCCGGCTTCCACGAGCAGCTCAGTCCGAGATTTCCTAACCGAGCGGATGCTCCCTTGGAACGGTTACCAAGCTCTTTCACTGGATGGTAAAGGCTTGTTGAAAAAATTAAAAATAAATTAGCGTGTTCGGCCCCGCCGCCGCAAGAATAAACAATGATTTATTTGGAAAATACGTGTCGGTGTGGCCACAACCGTCCCCCGGAGGTAACAGCCGGAGAAGGGGCTCAAGGAGCATCCCGCGGATGCCAGACCAGGCTCATGTCGCGCCTTCCGGGCGGCTGGTGCGGGGCCGGGCCGGAGGTCGCCTCCGCCGCTCGCTCCTCACGGTAGCGCACAGCCCGCCACTCCCGGCCGGGGCCGCCCGCCCAGCTGTCGCCGAGGGCGCCGCTGTCCGGAGCTTTATTCGTTGTCACAAGCCGTGGTAGCTACCTCACGGGCGGCCGCCCCGCGCGGTGACTGCGCCGGCAAAGGGGGCGAGCGCGCAAACTGGGGCCGGGTCACGCGGACTGCGACCCAGGGAGACTGCGGCCGCGGGGACTACCGCGTCGCGGACAGTTGGTAAGGGAGCACCGCTAACGGCTGCGCGCTAACGGCCACGCGTCTGCCCCGCCCCGCCCCTTCCTCTCGCAACCGCCTGCGGTGGCCCCGCTCTCGCCCCGCCCCCCGTCTCGCCCCGCCCCCGCCCCGCCTTTTCCTCTTGCGCGGCGTGCGCCCAGCACCGCCCTCGCCCCGCCCCTTCCCCTCGCCCCGCCCTCTCACGCGAGCGCCCGGACCTCGAGAATCGATCCCGCGCAAGACAAGCCCAGAGGCGGGGCGGAGAACGTCGCGCCGTGGTGACGTAGTGTCGCCGGCGCGGGCGGGTGACGCCAACTGGGCCCGTTGTCTGTGTGTGGGGCTAGGGGCCCCGGGGCGGCGGGGGCTCCCGGCGCGGGCGGCGGTGGGTCGGGAGGGCCTGGACATGGCGCTGAGGGGCCGCCCCGCGGGAAGATGAATAAGGGCTGGCTGGAGCTGGAGAGCGACCCTGGTGAGGAGGGTGCTGGGCGGGCCGGGGGTTGGGGAGGCCGGGTGGGCCCGAAACTCGCCCGCCTGACCACCACTTGCTCCTCTTGTCGCCCCACCCAGGCCTCTTCACCCTCCTGGTGGAAGATTTCGGTAAGAGCCTTTCCTACCCGCCGGATCCGGGCTGTGGGGGCCCATTCCTGTGCCCTCGCTCTACAGCCTGGGGCTGCCCTTCCCGACTTCTTTCCTTCCCCGATCGCAGGTGTCAAAGGGGTGCAGGTGGAGGAGATCTATGACCTTCAGAGCAAATGTCAGGGGTGAGTGGCTTGGTGCCAGGGCCTTCCCTTACACCCCGAGGGCAAGGGGAGGGCCAGGAGAGGAGTGCCCCTCAAGGGAGGTAGTGTAGGAATCCCAAGTTATAAAATCTCATACATGGAAGCATCCCTGATCTTTGGGTGCCCTCCTCATTAAGCTGATATTTTTGTTTTCTCCCAGTCTTCCTTCAGCACTTCCCTTTATGTAGTAATCCCTTTCCCCCTGTACAAATCTAACCATCCTTTGGAGTACAGTTCAGCTGCCTTTTCTGGTCTTGTAGCAGGAAGGCAGCCCCTTCTCTTGACCCAGGTCACACAGTGCCTGCTGTAATTTATTAATTACAGTTTTCATGTACTCGTGTGCCGGTGGCTTTAATCCCTTCACAAAGGTCTTGTATTGATTGGTTGGTGTGGCATCTGACAAGGCCCCTCTAGGGTGACCAGCCTCAGGGTCTTGGTCGTTCTGCAGAATAGAGGTGTGGAGTGACTACAGTGCATGAACTGAGAGGTCTGTTTTTATCTTCTAGGAAAAAAGGGACTGATCTAGGTGTTCATTTGGTTTCTTCACTGCACTGGGGCCCAGGCCTTGGGGTTCACAGTGAGAATTAGTGTTTAAATTCCTCGATCAGAGTTTTTTTTTCTTTCCTTACCTTCTGTTCCCACCTTGTCGTGGGCCGTGGACTCCAGCTTTTCATCTCTTCTCCAAAAACCTTAGACTTCATGAGGACATGGGGTATTCCGGAGCATCACAGCCAGATGCTTGACTCTGGCTTCTGGGTGTGAGGGCTCAGGGCCAATTTAGGCATTGTTGGAAAGAAGTGAGGGTAGAGGTGGGATCACGGAAAGGGCACCTGAGTTGTAACACAGTGCGGGGCGAATAGGCAGGAAAAGAAAGGGGATGCTGATTGCCTTCCCCCACTTGGCTGGTTTAGCTTTGCCCCTTACTTTCCCCAGCCCAGTGTATGGATTCATCTTCCTGTTCAAATGGATCGAAGAACGCCGATCCCGTCGCAAGGTGTCTACCTTGGTGGATGATACGTCTGTGATTGATGATGATATTGTGAATAACATGTTCTTTGCCCATCAGGTCTGCTGGGCTCTGTGTGCGTCTGGAGGGTGGGATGCTGCCATTGTCTTTGCTGGGAAGTGGAAGTGAGGGAAGGCAGGAGGAGGAGATAGGCAGATACCAGGAGTGGCGGTTAGAGAAGTCCCCTGGCAGAAGGAACTGAGCTCTTCGTTCATTACAAAAGGGTGTATCTTTAGAGCAGGCTGGTGTTGAGTCCCCTCTGCATGTCCCCAGACATCTGGTGGGTATTTAGTTGAATGAACAAATGTTGGGTGGAGATGAGGAGAGCTGATGAGTTTTGTTGTTCAGATAGGACTGCCCCTCTCTGGGTCCCCGTTCTCAGTGAGTATGGCTTGGGGTAGGTATGCTGTGTATGAGTGACTGTTCTTGGGTTTCACAGCTGATCCCGAACTCTTGTGCCACTCATGCCCTGCTGAGCGTTCTCCTGAACTGCAGCAATGTGGACCTGGGGCCTACACTGAGTCGCATGAAGGACTTCACCAAAGGCTTCAGCCCTGAGGTAGGCCGTGCGCAGTCCCTCAATCTTGGCTCACAGCTTGCTGGGCAGATCTGACTCCCAGGCCTACTTGTAATGCTACCATATGGCATATGATACTATGAGGCCCTTTTCTTTCAAATGATTTACCTTATGTTTGACCCTTAAATTTTAAGCTCAATTGTCAGGAAAGACCTAAGGAGGAAAGGAACATTCCTTAAGTGACACTATGTTAGGAATTTCTTTGTCAGGTCTGTATCAGGCCACGTTGCTCTCCAGTGTCCACTCATTACCGTGCAAGACTAACTCCATCCTTCTGGGGCTCCGGAGTTCTTTTCTGTCCTTACTAACCTTTCAGGAAAATCCATCTATGCTGCTTCAGGTTCCTGGAATGCCTCCAGGCCTTCTCTCTAGAGCTTTGCTTCCTGCCCAGAGGCCCACCTGAGAAATTGTTTTGATGTCTTATTTCCTTCTCTAGAGCAAAGGATATGCGATTGGCAATGCCCCAGAGTTGGCCAAGGCACATAATAGCCATGCCAGGTGTGTGGGAGCTGTGGGAGCTGATGGGAGTGGGGGCAGGGGGGGAAGGATTGTCCCATTCTGGGCCCTGAGTATGTCCTTCCCCAGGCCTGAGCCACGCCACCTCCCCGAGAAGCAGAATGGCCTTAGTGCCGTGCGGACAATGGAGGCATTCCACTTTGTCAGCTATGTGCCTATCACGGGACGGCTTTTCGAGCTGGATGGGCTGAAGGTCTACCCCATTGACCATGGTAGGGACCCATTGGGGTTTTCTGCTTACCTTCTAGGGAGCTAGGGCTCAGGGTCCTCAGGTGTTTGGGGACCCAGTGGCAGGGGGCTGGTGTTGAGGGCATCCATCTCTGGCTGGATGGCACCCTGCACCGTACTACCTGACCACCTCTCCATCTTCCTTCCCACTCCTGGCCTGCCCAAACTCAGGGCTTCCCACCTGCTGACGCCTCATCTTGGTCTTCCCTAGGGCCCTGGGGGGAGGATGAGGAGTGGACAGACAAGGCCCGGCGGGTCATCATGGAGCGAATCGGCCTCGCCACCGCAGGGTAAGGGCTCTGGGCTTGCCCTTCCCTCTGGAGCTGTGCCCCTGTTGGGAAGGACACAGAAAAGGGAAAGCAGAGGGGTCAGATGACTCGTGCAAGGCCACATGATGAATCTGGCCAGGTCAAGCTTAGATCTTGGGCTTCCAACTCCTTTGCCCTATTTCCCGCCCAGGCTGCCTATGGCCTGCTTTGGGACAGGCTGGGGAGGGGCAGGCCTTGGTGGAGCCCTAGGTGGCCCAGACGTGCTGGCTCACTTGCTGATAGGCCCCTCACGCAGGTCGTTGGAAGGCACCCGCTCAGCTGCCTGGCACTCAGCTGCCTGGCGTGCATTACTGGCTGCTGCCCGCCGGGCGGGGCGGGGCCTGTGCCTGTGGCTGCAGTTGTGACTGCGGGGGGCCTTGCCAGATTGTTTGTTCCAACCTGATGGCGGTGCTGGGCGGGAGCTGCTCTCACGGCTGCGGCTGTGACTGCAGGGAGCCCTACCATGACATCCGCTTCAACCTGATGGCGGTGGTGCCCGACCGCAGGATCAAGTATGAGGCCAGGCTGCATGTGCTGAAGGTGAACCGTCAGACAGTACTGGAGGCCCTGCAGCAGGTGGGGACCCTTCCCGCCATCCCTCTTCCCCCCACTGGGGCGTGGTCTCTGATTCCCAGGTCACTCTTTATTATGGATCTGTTGAGCTTCACCTGACCATTCCTTTCCTTTGCTTTCCTTGTGGGAAAGCTGGGACTTGGGGTGGAGAGGGGCAATCGCTTCTAAAAGGAGGCTTGGGTTCAGCTGTTGTATTTCCTTGTGAGCGAGTGGGTAGAACCAAGGCCCTCTGCTATCCAAGCGAGCGGCTGGGTCTGCTTTCACGACTGTGAGCCTTGGATTCTGTTTTTAGCTGATTAGGGTAACACAGCCAGAGCTGATTCAGACCCACAAGTCTCAGGAGCCACAGCTGCCCGAGGAGTCCAAACCAGCCAGCAGCAAGTCTCCCCTGGCGCTGGAGGGAAGCAGGGCCGCAGCTGCCTCTGAGGCCACTCACACAGGTACCAGGGATCTTGGCGCCTCCCCTTGGCCTCAGAGCTTGAGCTGAGAGGCCCAAGCAGAGCAGGTCTTTTTGTATGGATACACTTGGGCAGAGGTTCAGAGGCTCCTATGGGAGGCCTGAGGCCCTGGTGCCTGCAGCCCTCTCCCCTCGGATCATGGCGGGAGAGCAGTCATCCCCTAAAGAAAGGTACCTGTAAAGGGCTGACATCACCACAGTTCCTGAACCTTCTCTATAATAGATACTCCCTTTTTGGTTTTCTTAAGAGGCTTCTTTTTTTCTGCTTCTGTCTCCCTCCCTCCCTTTTTCCATCTCATCTTTCGTCTTGCTGTGGGCCCATGACCTAGAGCTTGCGGGCTCTCATCCCGTTAGATAGTGCATCTGTTCTTCTCTGGCAAGGGAGGAGGGAGCTGTGCTATGTCTGGGGAGATGGTGGGCTGGGGACAGGTTTTCTTGGGGATCTGGCTGAAGGTCCCGCCTGTGCTCCTTGTCCTCTCAGATGGTGTGGAGGAGGTGGCTGGTTCATGCCCCCAAGCCCCAACC